AGGAATGAAATCAAATGTCCCCATATAATGGGGATACAACTTCTATCCCCCTATAGAGCTAACTTTCCCTAACAGCTTTGATAACCATTAAGTACAGCTGCACAGATATTTAGAAGCTTTTGAGGAAACTTGGGCAGCTTTCTCTTTGCATTCGTAATCCATGAGAAGTCTTATTCCACTCTGGTTTTAACAACAAAGGCAAATATTTTAGATATTAAAGTCTACTGTAATAAGGTTTATTCATACTTCGGGATTTTTTTTGCCCATAACTACGCATGAGCCTTGAAATGAATTCTGTGTTTTGTTGATAATAAAATTATTTCTAACAAAGAGTGACCTGAAGCCTGTAAACTTGCCTCCTTCACACAGAGGAAAAATAAAAGACTGAGTTTTGATCAGACCTGATCATGTAACATCTGAGACAGCTTTAAGGGGAGAACAGTATTAATGAAACTCATGTTTTCTTATTTATTATGAGCAATATTTTATTATTGAAATTTTATACTAAATAAATACCACTATTTTAGGTACTTTTACAGATGTCTTTATAAAATGTCTGAATTACTCTGTGTAATGTTTATGCCTTGTGTATGATTGTTTATCCTTTTTCAGGTCTGTATCGTTCATGATACAATTAAAAAAAAAATCTTGTTTCCCAAAGAGATGAATTTCACATGTTAAAGAAAAAAAAAATGTGGTGGTGCATCACTTATTTTTATCAGCTTTATAATGGAAGAATTTGGTTTATGAGATGTTTAAGGAAAAAAAAAAAGCACAGCACTTCCTTTAAGTAAAAAAGAAAATCCATACTTTGGTTTTGATGCATAGAAGTTAAAGTTGTTTTATATGTGTGAAATTTTCAATGCTGAAAAATTACTTCAAAGAATTTAAATAAATTTGTAATACTATATTACCTTGTTATGAGTTTTTTATGAGGTTGGATCAGACTGTGTTAAAGTGTTTTCACTTTGAAATGCAAATAGTAAGGATACATCATAAAACAGAACAGCCCCTGCCTTTTTGAAACTTCTGTCAGTCTACTGTACTGGGAAATCTTGGTTAATCTTTGCCAGAAAGGCTGTTTGTAGAGCTGTGTGTAAACTGAAAGTTGCCGAGTTGCACTGGAAAAGTCAGTTTAGTTAAAGTTAAATTCTTTGTGCTTTCTGACTTTATCACTTTAAGTAAAAACAGGGAGTGATTTATATAGCTGGGCTGAAAGAATGTCTAACATGAAGAAAGGTTAAGATTTGACTTTAAAATCAAACTGAGAACTAAGCCGAAGTTCAGACTAGGTTTATTGATTGCCCTCCTTATAGTGATATCTGGACCACATAGGACAGGTTGATTTATTATTTTATTTTTTTTCCATAATGCATTTCTGGAAGGGCCCTGAAAGGGGTTTGGAACAGGGCGAGAGTATGTGTGAGTGGGGACTTGAACCTGTCTGGCCGAGTGTTTTGTGGTATGCAAGGGGACCTGTAAGTAAATGTGCACTAGCTAATCCCTAATTGCAGTTGTCAGATGGATTGATCTTCATGTGCAAGTCTAGAAACCTTATTAATACAGTACTAAGATAACTTCAAGTGTAAGGCAAGAGGAGAAATACTCCTATCTCTCATATCTGAGAAAACGGCGAACTTGCCATCTGAGCAGGGGTTCCCCGGGTGTCTGATCGCGCTGATGAGGGTCTCAGTTTTGCTTTGCTGGATAGCGAGGAGAATTGAGTTGTACTGCCACTTTTGCGGTTTGCTCTTGTGAGAGCTAAAAGCATGGCCTCTGCACTTTAAGTCCTTCCTACTACGTTTCTGTATTTTATGTTTGTTACATTAGGTTTTTGATCCAAACAAGGTGGTGGGGGCTTATTTTGGTTCTAAGATGGTTAATAATTGGGAAGGATAACTTCTGGGACACATGAGCCATGGAAGCACAAATGTTGGGGTTTTTTTATCATTTGCCCTCAGTACGATTGCGAGTCAGGGGAAGAGGAAAGCGTACACCTAGGGTACGTGCTTAAACGAAAGCAACTGTACATCTGTTTCTTCCTCTCCTCAAGCTCAAGATGCAGAGGGGATCAGGTGGGGCCCAGCTATGGGGCAGCTCTGAGCTGGAGTTGCTGCTGCGCATCCTTGTAGCCCAGAGGAGTTCAAGAAGATGGAAGTGGCTGTGTTCTTGGGTACTTTGGTACAAGAAAAATGCTCATAACCACCACATGCGTGGGATTTTGTTCATCATTACTTTCCAGACTTGCACTGGGAAATCTGTCTGGTGTAAATCGTGCATTAAATCAGAGTTGTTTCTGTGTATGAAATGCTGATCCTTCAGATAGGAGATGGGTGTGTTTTGAGTGAGGAGTGAACAAGCTTTATATGGGGCGGGGGGGGGAAGACTTGCTTTTGCAAAAGTGATATTTGAGACTATGAAAACCTATCAAATCCACTTTGAGACTCAACAGCTTAAAACTTACCAGTTTTCATATGCATTCTGAGCCATCACTTGTTTAAAATGGTAACAAGAACCAGCCAGAAAGTGGCATACTTAAACAGAAGGATCTTCATTAAATGCTCTCTGAAAACATAGGCAGAATTGCTGCAGGTTTGTTTGGTTTGTTTTTTGGTTTGGTTTTTTTTTTT